AAACATTATTACTATTCTATGTATAGAACTTTCTTTACGTGCAATTATCAACCCAAATAAAAGAGGTAACTTCTATTATTAATTAATAACATGAAATTATTTCAAAATTCTTCCTTATTCCTCTTGTATGTAAAAAAAAACAGAAAGAAAATAAATCAATTCCTTCAATAAAATAAACCAAATAAAAATAAAATAAAATCTGTTTTTCCAGAAAGTCAACATTCTTCTCCTTCCAAGTAGCAGCCATAAGTCAATTATTTCATAAAACTTTACCAAAATAAACTTAGAACTTTTCATATTTAGACTACTATAAATTTTCTTCAAAAAAAACTCAGAATTTTCATCTCTTTTTTTTTTTCCTCTCAATCTTTTAATTTATTTTCTCAATATTGAAAATGTTTGATTACTATAGAAAAAACAGAACAAGAAAAATTCATCTTTTCTCTGTTCTTTCTTTTGCTTTGATTATTTTTATCGTCACTTTTTCTGATAATCTCATATCTAATTTTTCTTCATCCCATTCAATCGCTTTTGTATCAAAATCAAGCTCTCAACAGCCATTGAAATCAACTTTTATACAGAAACCAATTTTTTCGAAGAAAAAAGAAACACATATAATCAAAGAAGAAGAATTAGATGATCACGTGAATTTAGTTCCTCCTTTTAATCTCACAGTGGAACAGAGGATTTCTTGGTTCAAGAAAAATTTGTCAAAGTTTCCTATTCTAAAATCATCAAGATTGTCGAGGCAGTTCAATAACAGAGTAAACGATTTTTTGAATTTGAGAAATTGCAGAGTGACGTTCTTCATGACATGGATTTCCCCTGCAAATACTTTCAGCAAGAGGGAATTTTTCGCGTTGGAGACTCTGTTTAAATCTCATCCAAAAGGTTGTTTGATCATTCTTTCACGTACTCTAGATACGCCTCGTGGTAGTAAAATATTGAATCCGTTGATTGAATCAGGATATAATGTTATCAGCGTTACTCCAGAATTGTCATTTTTATTCAATAGGACGCCAGCTGAGACATGGTATGCTGAACTCAAGACAGGTAATAAGGATCCTGGTGAAATCCCATTAGCTCAAAATTTGTCAAATTTGATAAGACTAGCTGTATTGTACAAGTATGGAGGTGTTTATATTGACACGGATTTTATCATCCTTAAAGATTTTTCGAATTTGAGAAATTCGATTGGAGCGCAAAGCGTATCTACAAATGGGAATTGGACGAGATTGAATAATGCTGTGTTGATATTTGATAGAAAGCATCCATTGTTGTACAAGTTTATGGAGGAATTTGCTCTAACTTTTGATGGAAATAAGTGGGGACAAAATGGTCCATATTTGGTTTCAAGAGTTGTGGAGAGATTGACGGAAAAAAATAAATACAATTTCACCGTATTGCCACCCATATCATTCTATCCAGTTGATTGGGTTCGAATACCCGGGTTCTTCATGAAATTAAATACAAGGACTCATTCAAGATGGATAGATGCAAAATTGTTACAACTTAGTGGAAAGACTTATGGAGTTCATCTTTGGAATAAGCAAAGTAGTAATATGAAAATTGAAAAAGGAAGTATAATAGGGAGATTAATTTCTGATCATTGTTTGTTTTGTAAAGATATTTACAATTCTTAACTTGTAAATAAGCAATTTCAGATTCTTGTAAAAAAAAATTAGAAAGACTTATTTATACATTCAATTCAAAACAAGTTGTTGATCAAGTAAGAACAAGTCTATCTTTTTTTTCTCATTTGTGTTTTGTTGTTTGATGTTACTATTCTTGATTTTAACTTTCATGTGTACAAGTAATTTTATTTGCGATAGATATTAATTTTATGTACACTATATTTAATTTTATAATCATTTCATAAAATTACATTATATTTGTTTGACAAAATATCGTCTTAAGTAGCTTTTATTTGAAGCTACCCATCTTTGACTTGAGACTTGTGGAAGGAATCATCTAATATATTGGTGGCTTTATGCATTGTTAATTTTCTAATGGACATTCAAGAATCATCATGAGTTACATCATCATATAAAAACATAGCCCACGTCTTTTTTAAAAAGGGAATTGATAATGATGGGTGATCATATTAACAAAATAATCTTGAAGATTAATTGGTCACAAATTTAACCACTTCGAATAATATAGACTATACCCGTTAAAATTACTTCGGACAAGAAAATACTTTCAGTCTTAATTAGTTAGAGGTCTCCAGTTCGATCTTAAAACAATCTTGGTAGAAAGTGTTTTATCCTTTAACTAATCTTTTATATATATATATATATATATATATATATATATATATATATAGTTGAGATGTAAGCTACAAAGTACAAGGTTGATTGACTCATTCAATAGTTGTCCGCTATTCGTCTGTCACACCTTTTAAAAAGCAGTAAGTAATAGGATAATAATATTATATTATTATTTGATTTTATTAAATTTAATATTTTGAAAAATGTATTTGATGACAAACGAGAAATATTTAATAATAAAAGTAAAATATATATAAAAGATAAATTATCTCTTCACTTTCTAAAATGGATAAGTATTATTGAATAACTGAACTATTTTTTTAAAAGTATTCTTTAGTACTAAGCAAAGGGTGAAATGATAAACGTATATAATTACGCTATCAAAAAGTTCAATTTATATATCCATAGACAAGGTTTGTATATGTTATAATAATAACATAAAGTAATCACTTGTAAAGTTCCAATTGTCACATATATAGTTAGTGTAGTTAGAAAGCATGAACAAATTATGAAGTTGTATAATTTATGGTTTCAATATAACTTCAAAGCATAATTTGTTATTTCACTTGTGAGTCATCATGCAAGTCTTGAAACTCTAAACTGTAAAATTATGTTGGGCCTGTTATCATTATTGTACAAGTCAAAATAAAGAAATAATTTAAGCATTTAGTCGAAAACTTAAAAGTTAATTTGACTATAAACTTCTAAAACTCTTTACACGTTTGGATCATTGTTATTTATTATATTATATTGTATTATATCGTTATTATATCTACAATGTTTGATTTGATTGTTATTTAAATTGTATTGTACTGTATTGTTAAATTTCATTGTTACATAACAATAAAAAATTTTATTTTATGAAACAATCAATTTTAATTAAAATATTAAATTTTTTGAGATGATTTTCAAATGTTTATAAAATATACTAATCATATATGAAAGTATGTTAAGCTACCAAAAATATTGCAACAAGTTTAACAAAGTGGCACATGTATTTTATTTAATTTATGAATATTTAACATTAAAATATCTAAATATATTAGCAAGAACTAGCGGTCGCTATTAATACATTTAGGCAATTTTTCATTATTTTGATAAATGAGGTTTATTGGCGTCACTTTTAAATTTAAAGATAAAATATAAAAAATAAAAAATAATGAAAACAATTTCTTTTTATATAACTATTCTTTTATATAAATAACAATTCAACAAGTTATTAAGGCAAACCAAAAAAGATAGTGAGGTATAACACATAAAAATTGGCGAAATGGGGGTATGAGCGTTTCAGGCTCATTTGATTGTAAAAATGTGTCGGTTTAGCCGTGAGGGTCAACCGGATCCATAGCTAAGGTTTTAACGAACGTCCATGAAAAATTTTGGCATTTTAAACGTCGAAGATCCAGATCACCAAAAAAGATGTTGACCTATAGCACACGAAATCGACGAAATATGGGGTATGAGCTCTTCGGGGCATGTTCGACCTTGAAAATGGGTCTATTTGTCCGTGAGGGACAACCGTCTCCATAGATAAGGTCTTAACGGGCGTCTATGAAGATTTTCAGCATTTTAGATGTCGAAAATCCGGATCACCAAAAGATGATGAGTTATAACATACAAAAGTAGCGAAATAGGGCGTGGAGGGGGTATGAGCGCTTCAGCCTCGTTTGACCTTGAAAATGGATGGTTTTGGTCATGAGGGTCAATGGCTCCATAGCTAAGGCCTTAACGAATGTCAATGAAAAATTTCAACATTTTGGATGTCTGAAATCTGGATCATCTAAGAAGATGGTGCACTATAGCACACGAAAATCAGCGAAATAGGAGGTATGAGCGCTTCAGAGCTCGTTTGACCTTGAAAATTTACCGTTTTTGCCGTGAGGGCCAATCGGATCCATAGATAATGTCATAATACACGTCCATGATAAATTGAGATTTTGGATATTCAAAATCTGGATCACCAAAAAAGATGGTGAAGCACACGAAAATCGATGAAATGGAGGGTATGTCCGCTTCAGGGCTCGTTTAACTATGAAAATGGATCGATTTGGTCGTGAGGGCCAACCGACTCCATAGCTAAGATCTTAACGGATGTCCACGAAAAATTTCAGCATTTTGAACGTCGAAAATCTTGATCATCAAAAAAAGATGGTGAGTTATAGCACACGAAAATCGACGAAATGAGGGGTATGAGCTCTACTGGACTCGTTTAACCTTGAAAAAAGATTGATTTTGCCGTGAGAACCAACCGGCTCCAACGATAAAATATTGACAAACGTTCATGATAAATCGTCATAAAGTCGTATCTTTAAAATACTCATTAGCTAACACACGAAAAAACTGAGAAAATCATTTTAAGTCGTGTTAATTGGCCCAAGTGCCCAAGAATCACTCTAAAAATGATGTGACAGTACATATATATTGTCCCCCAACATCCTATAGAGGATTCAATAAATATTCTCACAAAATTTATCCAAAAGTCATACCGTCAAAATATTCATTACCAACCCCACTTCCATTACCACAGTAGACTATACATAATCGATTAGAGCATAGGTGATCGAAAAGAAATAGTTATAAATTTACATATTTTCCTACTTAAACATTTTCCTTGGGTCCAAACACACTCATCGTATATCTTGTTAGTAATTTGTTTAACTTATGAAATAGTAACAAACAAAGAATAACCATTAGAAAACAAAAGGAAGTAGATGTAACAAATATAGTATATACTAACCTCCACAAAATTGGACAAAATAACTAATTAGCATTAGCATATGTTGATTCAATTAATTAGCTAATCCTTTTGATAGCCAATTAGTCAGCAATTCGACACGTTAATTATCACATCTAATATCTGAACAAAAAATCGAAACACAAACAAAAGAAAATGAAGATTAACACACAACACATTTTGAGTTACATGCAAAAATATTTGAAGAACATGGTTCTTCGTTCGTTGACTTGTCCAACATATTGACGCGGCGGATCCCAGTCGGTGTTCCTAGTTGTGCACGGTGGCCTGAGGTGCCAGATGTGGTGGCTGGCCTGCCGGAGGTTTACATTGGTAACATTTTGCAAACAGTCCAAATGTATCAACTTGTTTGATGAAATTGCTCATACTGGCCCATCCACCAAACCCAAACCCAACAACCAAAACCCAGCCCACAATAAAAATGTTAATAACATACATGATAGTCCAGCTTGGCATGAAGGATGGTGGCTTTTCTGCTGCATTCTGCAAAATTATTTATTTATATATGTCAAGACAAATTATAAAATATAGTATCTCCTTGTTACAAAAGGAATTGTAAACATGGTTAATTAGTTTGGTTGATAATATAACATAAAAGATCAATTATTGTTATACACAATAATCCCACCTTAAAGTTTTACAAATTCTCAAAATTCCTCATTTTCACGCGCTAGATTAATGTATCAGCGCATCAAATTAATATATCTCGCGCATCATATTAATATATCATGTATAAAATGTACATCATAGTAGTGTATCACGTATAAAATGTAATGTAACTTACTTAACGATTAATGTATCAATTTGAAGAATTTCTGTAATTATAAACTTATGAGGGACAAATGATAATGGAAATACCTGTCGAGCAGAGGGTGTTCTATAAGTGAGCATATGAGCAAGAGCTGGGATGATGTAGACAGTGAAACTAACCAAAAGAGCTCCAACGGTAGAGTTAATAGGCCCAAAGAATGGGAATATAATAGCCAAAAACCATATGGGTATCACCACAGGCAACCTAACAAGTGCCCTCAAGCATATGCTTTTAGTGTCATGCATCCCTATAACCTTCTCCCAGACAAAGTACAAGGGCGTACACGCGAATCCAAACGTGATAAACTGGTGAATTAGCATCAATATAACTGCAGCATCGCGCCATCCGTCTTTTGGAAGAAGTGAAAATGCGTTACTATGGTTAAGAAGTTGATCTCCGAATGCCCAGTAGACGGCTGAAGCTGATGGAATCGTTAGGGTGAAAACGTAGAGTGTCGCTATTAGGTATATGTACTTGAACTTCTGGGGTTTCCACATTGCATGCATTATTTCCCTGTAATCATATTTATTGGGCCACACACAATTTTTTATCTAAAATTTACTATTTTTCAATTTAAAGCTTAAATTGAAAATTGTATTCATTGGCTTGGGGATAAAGTAGCCACTGAAGATGGAATATAATGATAGGTTCTCTTAAATAATTATTTTAAAGTAATTGCAAGTACGTTGGAGAATATTAGCATTGGATTCTTCTGCACTATAAGTTGTCTCGTAGTATGAATATAACATATATTGATATGACAACAACAAAAAAACAATTTTGCAGCAATTAGCTAACGATAAGTCGACAATATGAGTTTTAAACCAACACTATATAAATGTCGTTATCGAGTTCAGCGATTCAGGAAATGGGTATTACTTCAATTGTACTTTTTACGACAATAAATATTGCCCCTAAAGAGAAAATCTATTGCTACTAAATGTCTCTATTGTTGTGACGAAGAACTTTATAGGTAAACTCATGAATCTATACCATTCCGCCAACTAGTTTAACAATATGGTCAAAAAGGTATACCATGTATACACTATAAGCATATATACATTATGTATATGTTTTGTATAAAGTATACACTACTACGTATTTTATAAATTAGTCGACTAAAGTGTTTTAAGGCCATAATTATCCCACATATGCTTATTCTATCAAAAAAAAAAACATTCGTTTACAAATGAGTAAAAAATAAATGAAGAGCTTACACAGTAACAGCATGTCCACCAAAGGTGTAAAGAATATTGGTGGCACCAGTGAAATACAGCACAAGCTTTGCTGGAGCAGTGTGTTGTACATTTTCAACCTATAATTGACACATAATAAATGACCCCCTCTATCATCATTTATAAAAATTGCAAACATAAATTACTAATAGAATAATAAATTATGGATGATATTATTTACTATTTATTTACCTGGCCATGAATGACAGCAGCAATTGTTAAGTACCATGCTGTATAAGTGGTCATCCCAAGGCCAAGAAAAGACCAAATCCTATAGTTATGGAAAGAAGGAATAAAAACTGTGGTAGCACAGCAAGCTCCAAATATGTATGTCCATGTCCTCTTGTCTAAGTGGTCATTGATGTAATATATGTTACTGTTCCAATTAAAAAGAAAAATCAATCAACTTAATAATCAAATATCAAGATTTACATTTTTAACTCTCAATATTTAGCACAAGAGCTTCCCAATTGCACTAATCTCTTGCTAGTCGCTAAGAGCTAGGGATTTCATTCAAATCCTTCGAAGAAAAACTAAATTATTTTATACGAAATTATTTCCTATGTACACAAATAAATGTTAAATCTCTTTTGGTTAATTTGTATGGTTGGTTGTTCATATTGTGAAAGCTTAAAGTGAAAATCCCGACATTGTCACTAATGCGCGACATTCATGGAATGGCTAGAAAAGGATTTATTCTACATATATTAATTCTGCATTTTTGCTACAGGCTATTTTTAAAATTATTCATAAAATGGCTAAACCACAAGAATCTATCGTAAACAGAATATACAATTCTTAATTAACACAAAAGACAATTTTCACACGTCAAATTTATATCTTCTTATCACATAGCAATAACTTTACCAGTTACGCATCATATAGCCTGTACCTTAGCTCAAGTCAATTTGCACAATACATTATATCAACTGAAGTAATTAGCCAAATGTAAAGAGTGTTTTTAACAATACGAGCTAACTCTAACTAGTATATGTGTCTCTTGAAAAAAAATAACAACTTATAGTTACACAAATTTCTATCATTAATTTTAAATCACAAGTTTTAAGAAGTCTATTTTTCCTTCTCAGAGTTGATATCGAGTCAAACTATAATATTTAAAAGACGGTTTTAATGAAGAAGGGAGTAGTGATCCGTACCTTGCGCAAGCAATTAGTTGTATGACGGATCCAAACAGAAGGAACGTACAGTTGAAGGCAAGGCCTGCTGCTTTCCAGTAAGGACCCAATAGTCCATCAAGCACTTCAAACCACTACCAGTTGAAAGACACATCAATAAATCTATTTGCAAGTCTTTCAGATTCTGAAAAAGTACTATTTTTTTTTTTTAAAAAAAATGAAAATATTACAAGTTGAACTGTGTGGAGACTGGATAATCTAAATAAGCCATAAAAATATAAAATAAGTCACTATTTTAGTTATTAACTAAAATAAGTACAGTGGAAGAAAAAGTTTCATTTTATTTAATTTTTTAAATGTTTTTCATTAGTGTCATAACCGGTATTTTTAACGTGTAACAGGATTTTTTCTTACACTTTATAAAGTGTAACTTTTTCTTCCATTTTATAAAGTAAAACTTTTTCTTTCACTCCATAAAGTGCAAGATTACTTTATTGAAAATTACTTTACCTTTTAATTCTCTCTTTCACTTTCATGGCCTCTAAACATTTTTAGACTTTGAAGATTAATATTGATGGTTTAGTTATCGAATTGGGACCATCTATGTTAATCTTCAAAGTGTACAAAAGCTTAAAAGCCATGAAAGTGAAACAGAGAAGAAAAAGGTGAAAAGGTAAAGTAATTTAAGGTGAAAAAAGTAAAGTAATTTTCTATAAAGTAAAAAATTTATAAAATGAAAGAAAAAGTTTTATTTTATATACGAAAGAAAAAGTCTCACTAAAGTGTAAAAAAAATTTCGTTATATATTAAAAATACACGTGATGACACTAACAAAAAACATTTGAAAAATTGGATAAAGTAGAAATTTTTAAACTACTATGCTTATTTTAATCCGTAACTAAAATAGTGACTTATTTTGATCATTTTTATATTTTTGTGACTTATTTAATTTTCGACTCAACTATATGACGGTAAAAAACTATGCGTGGCAAAATCAAAAATTTATAAAAATTTTCAAAGAGTAAATATATACTTCTGAAAAATAATAATCATATACTTAGTATAATTTTTCAATAAAACATATGCTTTAACTTGAACTTTTTTTGCTCCGATTCGTATACCTGAATCACATGATTTTTGAAGTTAACACCTTCTTTTTCTTTTCTGCTTCTGTACTCTATGTAGAGAACACTAATGAGGTATGCAGTCCAGCTCCCAACAAGACCATAAAACACTTGAAACACTACGCCAGATACCATACCAAGTTGAGAAAATGAATATGGCAGTGTCAATAGCACTTGAGCAACCTGTTAAAAATAAATAAATGAATTTAGAAAATGGAGTACTAAATATGACGGATCAATCACGATAACATATTCAGTGTAATCCCACTATTACGGTGAATAAAATATGAGCTATTAAAAGAAAAAGAAATGTACTTGATTAGAAGCACAGCTGAACCAAGCATCCCAAACAGAGCCACCATGCCAGAGCAGGCTTTTGACACTAAAAACAGAATGATCTTCTTCACCTAATTTCTCAACTTCCTCCCCATCACGATCAGTTCCATTGAAGTTTGAAACAATAGCTTCCTCTGCTTGCTTCTCAGCATACATTTTAATTTTTTAAAAAAAGAGGTCTAAATTGCAGCAGATCTGCAAACACACTCAACAAAATGAGACCAAAAAAACTTATTTCCAGATTCCAAAATATTTTACTTGAAATACCTCTTTTCTTGAAACTCAGATAAATACCCAAAATTATTCTGAATGTTTTTTGTCCTCAAAAAACAGAGCACTACTGAAAAAACAGAGCAAGAGAGAGAAAGAAAAACCCCACTAGTGAAGCAGAGATAACAAAACAAGTTTCGAAGATTATGACAGATACTATACATATGTAGCTGAATAGTAATTGCAGCAACAAAATAAGTATTATTTCTGAAACTACAAAACTAATTCTGAAGGCGAATTAAATGCAGTTGATATTATTTATATTTATAAATAAACAGAGAAGATACGGATATTATTGTCAGGGGAGCGGCCGAATCAAAAAGACGGCGAAAGAGACCTTAAAAACAGGACTCAGAGATTATCTATTAGTAGTGCACAGACTAGAAAGTAGAAACAGAGCAAGAAAAAAAAATCACTTTTCAGCACTAGTATTTTCAAAGTACACATAACGTATTTATAAACAACAACAGCTAGATTTCGCCCTATAAAAAATTGGGTGAGCATTTTGTGTGTATATGATAATGGTGAAAATTTTAATTTTTGTTACTTATCTTTATTCCTTGTACGAATTTGTTTTTAAAAGCTATTAAAATGGATAAATTTCGGATTATTTATGTGAAATTATTTAGTTGAGTCATTTTGAATACATATTTAAATATAATTATAAAAATTTGAAATTTAAATTTTAACTTTAAAATATATGATCGAATAAAAGCTACTATGTGTCTATAATAATCCGTCTTATGTTTTAATTTATGTGTCTTTTTTTATTTATCTATTTTGAAATATTCTTTTTAATTGAAAAAATGCACAAGTACCCCTCAACCTAGCTCGAAATTTCAGAGACACACTTATATTATACTAAGGTCCTGTTACCCCTGAACTTATTTTATAAGTAACTTTCTACCTCTTTTCGATCTACGTGACATTAACTTGGAAAAGAAAAGTCAACCAGCGTTGGATCCACAAGATAGTGTCACGTAGATCGAAATGAGATAGAAAATTATTAATAAAATAAGTTCAGAGGTAATAAAACCTTAATAGTATAAGTGTGTCTCTGAGATTTCGGATATAGGTTGAAGATACTTATGCATTATGTCTTTTTAATTTGATAATTCTTAAATTTTATATTTCACGTGACATTTAAAATTATAAGATTTAAAAAAAATATTATATTCTTCAATCTCAAAATATTTGTTATATTCTTTATTTACACAACTCTAAAAAAAATGAAAAGATGATTGACTATTTAATATTTACCTTAATTATCTTAATATATAATCTCTTTTAGGGGTGTATGCCTAACTTTGTATGATGAAAATTTGCAAGTAACCGAATTGCGTAAAGCTTTACACAACTTGAGTTATACTATTTAAAGCTCCATTTTTTTGTAAATAGGCTGTTAACATAATTTAATGAAAACTTAATAAGCATATTATTGAAAAATAATATAGTTTTATATACTATATCACTCTGTGTTTGACTATAATTTTATTTTGCATGTGCAATGCTCTCCTAAAAAATTACAAAATAAATTATTTCAATTTAAAAATAATTGTTCTCTTAATTTCAGCTAAAGATATCATGTGCTAGATCTGTAAATTTTTATTCAATATAGCGTGAAAAACTTCCAAATTAGCCACTTGACGGTGGATTTTACTTATAATAACAATCTAATTTCTCTCAACTTGTCCAATAATTTTTGCGTCTTATTTGTAGTTTATTTAAAATATTATTACGTTTTTTATTTTATAATAACTATTAAATTTTGTCATTTTACATTACATAATCAAAATCTCATAATTTAAAAAATATTTTTAACATATTAACACATCTTTAATTTTACTTTCATAATTTCAAAAGATTTTCTTGATTAATTTAGTTCTCCGTCATTAAGACACGTAAAATTAAATTGAGTGGTTAGACTTTTATAAGTTTGTTGACTGTGTTTCATTTTTAAAATGATTATATTAAAGTTTTACTGAAATTAAGATTGAGACAAAAAGAATATCATTTACTTATATTGATTTTTCTGTAAGAATTTAATACATTTACCTAATTCCTGGCATATAAGAATTTAAGATTTGGAGAATTTTTGTTTTATGTTCTTTTTATTTAAAAAAATTATTTTTATATAAAAAAAATTAAAACGTCTAATGTTTTTAATTCATTTTGTAAGGTCCTAATAAATCTTAAATGTAACTATGGAATGATCACTATGATGGAACCAATTCGGTTTACTAATACATATTAGCTTTCTGATTTCATCCAACTTTGGTTACTAATATATAAAGTCATTCAAATATAGGAAAGTTTTTTTAACTTCATAAGGAGCTCACGATTTATTTCATTCACCAATATGAGATATTTCATTCATTATTATCATTACGTTCGTTTCATCTTCTTATCGGTATGTATATTCTTTATATGAAAATTTACTGTTTCAATCTCGTGCATGCACATTCATATATCAGAGATACTTCCATCTCGATAATTATTTTTCAGTTTTCTATCTGATCTGATACAATATTAAATTAGATTTTATCTTAAAGATAAAAATATTATCCAAAACATATAAGGAACTTAGTTTCATTCATTCCGAGCTTTAACGCCAATCAAAGTATTAAAAAAGTTCAAATTTATTATCCTTCCACATTAGACCAAGGCTTAAAATTTCCTACGTCATACTTTTAATAAAATTCACTCTTTTTCATCTTTTAAAACTTATCCTTTTGTTAAACTTGAAATAATGTGACACGCAGTTGCCAATCAAAGAATAATATTCGAAATTTTGCAATCCTTTTCTAGCGTTCATATTGTTTTCAAAACTTTTTCTCCTACTGTTTATCATAATTATTATAATAATTACTATTTTCCCATGCATTAATAATGTAATGTGCATTCCACTTACATGTTGATTGTTGACTAATAAAGTAAAATCAATGACTGATGAGGTGTAACCAACAAATTAGAAAGCCTTTTAGTCAATCCTGATTATTAATTTCTATTCACTTTTATCATGTTGATATTTTTTCCGTATTATTTTTAAAATTATTATCATTGCTAATATAATGTTAGTGGAAAAATTAATGATTAAGGAATGGATTATTTAGGGCACGAGGGATCAAAATTAAGCAACATGTTGGGTTGTTGACATTCACATGGTCCAACTATTACTTCTTAATTGCTATTCCGCCCATTTGGAAAATTATTTGAAAGATACTTATAATTAACGTAGATTATATATTTTATTTTAAAATTATTAATAATTTTAAAATATCTTTTTATTTGACTAACTAAACCTAAAATGTCTTGTTATTTTTGTATCATGAGCTAAATATATTAAAAAAAATTATCAAAATTAGTATGTTTTCAATACTTCTCTTGATTTTTGTGGAAAGTTTTGTGCTTTTACAGAAGTTTGAAACCACTTGCTATGTCACGTAATAGATCAGAAGTGTATCGAATTTTGTTGTCAAGTATAGGACTATTTTTAAGGCTTTTAATAGTTCAAAAACAAAATTAATAATTTACATCAAATTTAAAGATGTTTCAGTATTTCTCATATTCTATTAGGGAGTATTATTTACCAAAGGATTTCGAAATTAATTCTCGTGAGTTATTTTTTACTTAAATAAGAATTTAATATTTCTTTAAAAAAAATAAGTCCACATTCAAAGAAATCAAGCTATCAAACTGACTTTTTCAATAAACAAATGTGAACCGATTCAACTTAAGATAGCTAATTAAGATTAAAGTTATACAAATAAAAAGAAACTGATTTAAAAAAAAAACTCATATTTGCACACCACAAAACCTGCCATAAGAAGAAGAGCAAAAAAATAAACACAAGAATACGAGTAATTCATTTTACTGAAATTTTGTACTTTTCTATTTTAATTTCTCCGTTTTTCTTTTAATTTTTTAGTCTGATTTATTTTCAAATAATTTTTAAATTTTTATCTTTCTTATAACATGTTTAATATTATTAAATAAAAGATATTTTATGTATTATACATATTTTTATTTTAAGATCACAAATTTCTAAAAAAGTTACTTTTTAAAATTTCATATCAAATAAAATTCAGATAAATAAATTGAACGGAGGTAATGTTATTTTACCAAAAAGTATTTACTAAGAACACAAGTCTTGTGAGAGCGATAATTGAAAGAATAGCAAAATTACTATTACCTCGAACAAAATTGATATTACTAACTTTTCTTTTTAATCAATAAAGAATGGTACCCCTTATACTTAATAATAATTTAATTTTACAATACATATTTAATCCTTAATGAAATATTATAGTCACATAAATATTAAATTTATTTCAGATAACAAATTTCAAAAGTTTTTCTTTTTTCTTAAATTTTGTATCAAGTCAAACTGTATCACATAACTTAAACGAAGAAAATACAAATTAGATTTAACGAAATATATATTTTTCACAAAGAAAATTGAAATTAAACAAATCTTCACCAGAAAAGAAAATCTGCATGATTTGACGAGAGACGTAATGAGCAAAAAAATTATGAAAGCTTATTCAAGAAGGAAATAGGAGCTTTTTTTTATTGAATAAATAGTACTACTATCTACATAGGTCCGTTTGGATGAGCTTAAAAAAATAGTTTTTAAAAATTACTTTTGAATATGCTGGAACTTATTTTAAAAATAAGTTGTTATGTGTTTGAATAAAAGTGCTGAAGTTAAAAAAGAGTTGTTGATGTGCTTGAAAAATAAGTGCTGGTAAACACCTTTTTTAATCAAAATGTCTGAAACACCTTAAAAGTTGTTACATGATAAAAAATGATTAATTTAATAATAATAATAATAATATATAATATAAAATAATAATAAATAATAATAATAATAATGATAACAATAAAATAATCTGAAAAGAATAATAAAATAATATATAATATATAATAATAATAATATAATAATAATATATAATAATAATAAAGAATAATAAAATAAATAATAATATATAATATATAATAATAATATATAATAATAATAATAAAAGAATAATAAAATAAATAATAATAATAATAAAATCTAAATAATAATAAATAATTAAATATAAAAATAATATTAATAATTAAATATAAAATCTGAAATGTCATAGTCATGTAAAATGTATTCATAAATTATTGAATATCTTCAAATGTGAAAAAAATATAAAGGAATGAAAAAAATAATACATTATCAAAATTAACAAAAACTGACCCCAAAATACAATAATAAAATAACCACTGAATACAAAATACAAACTAATAAATAT